ATTCAAAGTGAGGTCCTCAATCACCTGAACGTCGGGGACCTGCTCCATTTGGGCCGTAGCCCGCACAACAGCCGTAGCGGCATCCTTAGAGGACTGACCCTGCTTCGGCCTCTTAGCATCCTGGGTCGGCTTCAACCCGGCTTCAGTCAAGGTTTTCTGCCCCTCAGCAGGCTTCCTCTTCTTCTGAGCCGCCGCCTTCTTCACCAATTCGGTCTGAGACTTGGAGCCGTCACCAGAACCTTTGGACGCTTCGGCCTGTTGAGCAGCCTCCATCTCTTTAGCAACCATTTTCTTGGCCTGAGCCATGAAAAGCTTGCGACTCATCTCAAAACCTGCGACGCAAAGCAAAGAGTTAGAAACAAAAAAAAAAGGGCCAAGTACACAAGGATTAAAGGAAAACTATCAACCTTCGGCCTCGGCCGCAATCCCAATAGATGGCCCATCGGCCTGCTCGAAGTAACCAGACATCTTCGGCCACAAACCACAATCAGGATCGCCTGGTATGTAGTACCGCATCATCCCAAGGGCCGCAATCTTGAACTCAGTAATATAGGTGTTGACGCTCCGCGGTCCACCCTTCAGGAACGCCTCCACTTGAGCATCAATCTCAGCGCTCTTCGGCGGAGTGTGTAAGTTAAAAAGGCCGCTATGGCCTTGTGAAGGAAAAAAGACCCCATCGGCCAACTTCACGAAGCAGAATTTTCTCTTCCACCCATGGATGGACGAAGGGAGACCTATAAAGGACCTCTTCTTCGGCAACTGTTGGAGCGCCGCATAACCAGCACAGTTTTCATGGCTCCCCCGGCCGATCCGGTACAAGTTCATAAACAACGCCGTCGTGGGTTCAATCCCGAGCTCATCACACCGGATAAGGAAGCCGACGATCAGGGAGTAGCTGTTCGGTGTTAACAAGGCGGGAGGAAGGTCCAACATATCCAGATATTGGACTACGAAGGGAGGCAACGGAAACCTCAAACCTTGGGAGAAACTCATCGGATACACCCCGAAATATCCAAGGGGTGGGTCCAAAACATGATCCGTCGGCTTGGGCGCCCTCACCTTCCCATAAGGGCCGACATATAACTGCGCCACCTGGTATTCGCTTGGGGTGCTCTCCGGCTTTATAATATAGAGGTGCGTCAGATCCAATTGAGAAAGCCCGTCGGATGCCCCTCTTCGCCGACGCGACGTACGCCTCTTGGTCACCCCAGATGACGACGCGCCACCCGGAACGGAGGAAATTGGGGGTGGACAGGGAATAGCGGCTGATGAAGCATCACCTACATTATCCTCGCGAAGCCGGGGCTCGGAGCTCGCTTCGTCTTCACCAGATGGTTGAGAGCCCGCATCGGCACTTAGACGCTCCTCGTCCACAGAGGTGCGATAATCCGCAATATTCTCCATCTCAATCTCAAAAGCCTCCACCACTCTTAGATCAACCACGGGAGATGTGTCCTCGTCGTCAAAAGGCCAGTCGGATTCGTTCAGCGAAGCTGTTAAGTCAATTGGAGAGGGGACGCTACGGCCGTCAGGGAACGGCATAACAACTATCGCTACGTCCTAAGGGTAGTTTTCGGATCAAAGTGACTTCCCTAAAGAACACTAGATCTAACACCCTAAGGAGCAGAATATGAAGAAATCAAAGAAAAATTAAGTATCTAACCTTTAAAGATTCGAAGAATGTGACGAACACTTGGAAAATTCTCAGAGCTTTCTCTCTCTAGAAGGACTTGGGCAGCAATTCGACAAACAGCAAAGACGCAAATGAGGAAGTGGCTTCGGAATAGGGGGTATTTATAGAAAACTTCCAAACGGTCACTACACGTGGCGCCATCCCATTGGCTCCACCAACGGCCACCTCCCTTCCAACCAATCAAGGGGCGCCAATTCAAAATCACTCAAGCAAGCACCCCTACGGCCCAACTCAGCCGTAAAAAAGAACAGGGCATCGGTCGAGTACCGCTGCGGCCCAATTACTACAAAACTCCAAAGGGGAACGCATCGGCCTAAACTCAACGTCCTCACAAACAACCCAAGGAACCTTAATAGACCGCTACGGCCGCTTGTGCGTGCATCGTCGATGATAACCCTGGCATTGCGGCCTTCGTCCAAGGGTTCTCCCACAGGGTTACCTTGGACAGGTTCGCCTAAGGGTTGGAGTCACGACTAAACGCATAGGTACCGGATCGGCTCATTACTCCCTTGTGCCTCAGATGATCTTCGGCCAAAGGAGTGGGGGACTGGGGGACTGTATCGGCCACAAAAAGAGAGAGCGCAACGGCCAATAACAAAAGACCGCATCGGCCATCAAAATACTAAGGATTGCGTTGGCTATAAAATCACTAAATCAGCTACACAACATAGAGCAGCGCGCATCGGCTTATTCGCTAGCAGTGCTACGTCCACCAATACAAGAGGATCGCAACGGCTGCGTACACTGAGAAGACCGCATCGTCTCACCATAACAAAAACTCACAAGTCAAAACGCTTCGGCTGCATAACAAATCAAAGGTGCGCATTGCATCGTCTACATAAACAGAATCAACCACCTTCATCTCATGAAAAATAGGTCTTCGCTACGGCCAAAAGGATAAATGGGAGCTCTTCGGCCCCAACAAGATAACGACGAAGGCATGCCAACTTATCCACCAAGGATTCATCGCATCATCTACAAAAAGAAAACGCATCGCCTCGTCTTCAAAGGCACTCCCACAGAGTGTGCATCGGCCCGCATCAAGGCTATGAGTTCCCAAGCACGCTTCATCTACATCAAATAAAGGAACCGCTTCATCCAAAATCAAAACAGGAACTCTTCGGCCATCAAACGCCTTAGACTCACGAAACGGCCAGACAGAAAGGAACAAGTACTCCCTTTCGCTTCGGCTTCACCTCAGCTCAGAGAGTGGGGGACTCCTGATAGAGTATACGGGCCTGGACCCCATAGCCCACATACTCAATGGCCCAAAAGACACCAGCAGGGACACCCGCATCGGCCATGAGCGCGCGACGTCCATGAGAGAAGACATCACCCGGATTCCTTGGGTGAAGCCCAGAATCCGCATCGTCCATGGACCACATCGTCCATGGACCGCATCGTCCATGGACCGCATCGTCCATGGACCGCATCGTCCGGACTTCGTCCAGGCAGAATGTATTTTTCATTATATTTACTAAGTGTTGTACACAGCCCATTAGTGGCCTTATTTCGCCCAAAGAAGGCATGATTATTGTAATGGGCCTCCTAAGCCCAAGGCTAGGAGCCCAAATCCACATTTTTACCTATAAATAGACCCCAAGGGGCTAATTATGGGGAATGGGCAAGTTGAGAAATATAATTACTCACTCTCTCTCTCTAGCTCTCACTTCTCTCTAGAATTAATACTCTATCAAATGTATTTTGTAGCACTTGTCAAATTAATTTATACTTGTACTTCATATTTCAAAATTGTGAACTTGTACACTACAAAAAAACACGGGCGTAGTCACGGATTTAGTCACGGACTGCAGTGTAAAAATTCCGTGACTAAGGTGTTTAGTCACGGTCATCCGCCGTGACTAAATCCGTGTCTTAATTGGCGTGACTAAATGAAGTCACCGCCACATAACCGTGACTAAATTTAGTCACGGATTAGTCACGGTCAACGACCGTGACTATTTTCATGCCGGAAACCCCACTCCGACATGTTAGTCACGGCTTGTGACCGTGACTATAATTTTTTTTAAAAAAATAAATATTAGTCACGGCTGTGGGCCGTGACTAATTTTTAAAATTTTCAAAATTTTCAAAAGACCGCCCGCGGGTGTAATCTAAAATTTTGAAATTAGTCACGGTTGTCGACCGTGACTAAGTTTTTTTTAAAAAAAAAATAATGTTTTTTATTAAAAACAAATAATAATTTCGAATTAACTGTAGTCACGGATAAGGCCGTGACTACTATTTTTGTTTTGTAAAAAAAAATTTCCATTTTTTTTTAAAGTTGTTTTTAAAAATTACTTTTTAACACGTATTTTTACAAATTAAATTTAAAAATGTTATTCTAATTTTTATCCATGTTTTTATACTATTGAATTATTGAAAATATTATTCTAATTTTTTAAATTTAAAATTACATTTTAAAGAGTAAAGACATACAACAAACTTAATAAATATTGTGACAAACTTTTAAATGTTTTGACAAACAACAAAGTACAAATGTATGATGATTACATGTCCCTTCGTGGGACTCCATTATGAAAAAAATTAGGATTTTCTTCTTCTTCTTCTTCTTCTTCTTCATCATCATCAACAAGAAACTCATCTGGGTTCACGGGGGGGTCTTCGGGGTCAGGTCGGGTTCCTCCTCGGGGTGCTCCTCGGGGTCCTCCTCGGGGTGCTCCTCGGCCTCCATGGCTCGGTGTGCCACTACCTCCTCCGGATGACCTCGCAAAATCAAAGGACATAGATCCGAAATTCGGGGAGATCATAGGCATGCCACCATATCCGGAGTTGGGGAAAAATCCCATACCGCCCATGTGCGGAACTTGAGGAGTTTGCTCAGGGTGGAATACGTACGGGGGAGGAAAAGGCTGTTGCGGAGGCTGGAATCCGGCACGCATGTACCGTTCCATCTCCTCCAACCGGGCTTTTGTGGCCTCATCTGCTTTCCGCTGCTCCTCCCATCGCCGTTCGTGCTCCTCCAGTTCACGCTGCATTGTAGCAATACGGGGATCTTCTCCCCGCCTTGACCGAGAAGAGGAAGCGCCGGTGCTTCGATCATACAAAATCCGTTGCCCCTCGGCCCCCAAGCACGGAACCCGGCCCTTGTAAACCCCGGCCGCCTCAATGGCCGCCTCATCATCCGCATCGGAATCGAGGTCGTCTTCCTGGGTCAAGCCTCGTGCCGCACGCTGCCTGTCAACGGATTCGTTGTACTTCGTCTGCATTTTCAAAAAATATTTTTTAAATGCTACATACTTAGATTTGATATGTTAATAAATAACAAAATATGATGCTACATACTTCGAAGTCAGCGAGGCGGGGTGGCAGATCGGCTTCAGATTCCTCGCCGTGCTTCGTCCAGCAATGCTTGACGAGCCGGAGAACACCAACCCTCTTCTTCTCAGGACCAGCCTAAATGGTGTGAAAAAGACTTAAGTAAATTTTTTATAATGAAGGATTGTGATGGTGTAAGGTTTTTTGAATAGCACTTACAAGAGTTTCTTTATGGGCATTCTGAGATTTGCGACCCCCGTGCCACTGCATCTCCAAGGCCTTCTCGGACATCCGGTTTTTCTTACCGGATTCACTTCTGGCCAAGAATTTCGGATCAGAAGACCAGTGGCGACAAAGGTTGGACCACACTTCATCCGAAACCCATTTAGGCTTTTTCGAACTTTTTCGCGCACGTTTAAAAGTGGTGCGAAGCCAGGTCGAAATCCTAGCATTGTAGGCTTTAAGAATATCGGCACCGTTTGCGTGAGTCCAACGATAGCGAGCCTTTATTAAAACAAATTGGATTAATTAATCAGTAGGTATATATTAGGCCAATACAATAAGGGAGGGAACATTCATTTATTTTTACCTTGAACAGGTTCCACCATAGCTCGCGAACCTTGGGGTCAACATCCGAGTACGTGGCCCAAGTGCCAAGAAAGTGTCCTCCGATTATGCTTTTGATGCCTTTGAACACTTCTTCGTCACTTAAAAAATTAATAGTATTTATTTATATAAGATTTGGTTAGATTATTTAACATTATATAAAATTATTGAAAATAAGGTTTCTTCATAACTACTTACAAAAGAACTTCTGCAGGGGTCACCCAAACAGCTCCTTCGTTGTTGCGCTCCGCTTCGGACATGGGCGCATAGTTAGGGCGGGAAGCCGAGGTCGATTGTTCGTTGCTCATCTAAAATATATTAATTTATTTTGTTTTTTGTTAGAACGCTTATAATAGAAAATCAAATTTTTACATAAGTATTATCAATTGTCAATGTATATAACATATTAAACTGGGTATAAGTTTAATATCAGGGTCCAATAATTGCTAATAAACAAATACTATAATTATCAAGGAGTTGACACAGTCGATCGAAAAATCAACCGGTTGGAGCTTATCAATGAGTTGACCGAGTCGATTCATTGATAAACTCCATTCTGACGATTCTTCAGGCTACGCCTTGAACCATGGATGGGCTACATCACATGTAGCGACATAATGTCAGTACATGCGCTTGAGAGAGTCCATCGATGACTCAAGCCATAGCCAGAAGAATCCACAGATTGGAGCTTATCTAAGAATTGACTAGGTCAACTCATTGACAAGCTCCAACTGATCGATTCTTCGGTCGACTGGGTCAACTCATTGATAAATTATAGGATGAGTTTATTAGAAATTATTGAACCACTCATATTAAACTTATACACAGTGTATTAAATTTTTATAGAAAAAATAATAAAAATACCCCAAACTTTGAAGGGGTGTGACAAGAGCACCCCAAACTTGCATAAGTAATTTAAACACCCCAAACTTTATATAAAGTTTGGGATATTTAAATTACATATGAAAGTTTGTGGTGCTTATGTTAGAGATATTTTCATTATATTGTGATCAATGTCTCTTAGCTATTTATAATTAGGACTTTAATTATATAGACTAGCTAGAATAATGAATAGGCCTTTTAAGGCAAGCTTGTAATAAAGGTTTTATACCTTTTTAGGTATGGGCCTCCTAGGAAAAGGAGCCCAAATGATTGTAAAACCTACCTTTCCCGTCAGGCTATATATATGCCTTAAGGGAAAGGCTAGGTTAAGCTTTTCGATATTCCTAGTGCCGCAGTGCCTATTTCCGTGATAGAAGTTTTACGCTAAATTGTTCATCATTCTGTAAACTTCTTCATCACATCAATGGAAAGCTTCATTCCCAGATCTATCTTCCATACATACATTCTATAGATTAGAAAACAGGGACCTAACATCTGGTATCAGAGCCGGAGCTGATCGATCGATTGAAGGCTGAAAAACTCTCCTGCGCGATTCTTCATCGTTGAAGTTTCGCACTTGAGCGATCTTTTGTTCTATATTTGTTGTTGTTTTTACAGGAAAATGGCTGAAGGATAAGGTTTCTAGTGTTGCTGAGATCATTCCTGGAGAAAATCTCGATCTAAAACTCGACGTACAGGTTGAACCACAGTTGAGCGATTCTGATATTTAGCGCAACTCCCTGGAACGAAGAACAGGTTCGCGCGATCAAGCTCCTGCGCGATTTCTCAGCTTCGCGCAACATTGCCTGCGCGATTCAGGATTTGCTCCATTTGCCTTCTGCGCGATTTCAGATTTCACGCAACACCTCCTGCGCGTTTCGGGACTTGCGCAATCTTCAACTCTACCTGCGCGATCTACATTTCGCGCAACATTCATCCTTGCGCGATTTGGAGATTGAGCAATTGGACTTTGAGAGATTTATAATTGTTGAGCGATCTTTTTGTATTATGGAGAGATTGTTTGTAAAGTTGAGAGATTGTTTTTAAGTGTTGAGCGATCCTTTTTAAAGGTTGAGAGATTGTTTGTTAAGACTTGAGCAATCTTTCGTGAAGTTGAGCGATCTTCCAACACCTGCGCGATCTCACACTTACAACTTTTCTGAACAAGAACCTTCTGCCGGAATTACCTAACAACTGGACAGAATCAAATCAATCAACTGATCAGCCCGATCATTTCATTATGGATGCCCTATCTATTGGAAACGATACAAGACCCCCGATTCTACGAAGAGGGGAGTACAATGTATGGAAGAACCGATTCCTGAACTTTTTGGAGAGCAAGGACCAATCCTCAGGTCTTCTTGACTCTATCACAAATGGACCTGCACAATTGATGATAGCAGTTGAGAGAGATAACGGAAACAATCCACCTGTTGAGATAGAGTGGAGACCAAAGACGGTAGATGAATATGATGACGAGGACAGAGCAAGACTCCGGGCAGATCTCATTGCCAAGACCTATCTGTTGCAGGCCATCCCGAACGACATCTATATGCAGATTGACAGCATGTCAACTGCAAAAGAGATGTGGGATGAGATCTTCAAGATCATGCAAGGCACTGAGATAGGAGTAAAGGCGAAGAAAGCTAGCACATTCACTGCTTATGACTCATTCAAAGCCAAGCTTGGAGAATCACTCGAAGACACCTACCTGAGATTTCTACAGCTGATAAATGAGATGAGGAAGATTAATGTGCACAAGTCGAACATGGAACTGAATGTGAGATTTCTATCTTCTCTTGGAGCTGACTGGAAGAAGCTGAGCTCACAGATAAGGCACACGAAAGACCTTGATGAAATGGACATCCATGCTGTGTACAATACACTTGACCAGTATGCTGAAGATTTTTCTGACCTCGTGGTCGCCTCTGTGACAGCTGATAAAGGGAAGGGAGCCGTGGACAAGCTTGCCGACACCCTTGCCCTGATGCTTGACAAGCCATCGAAGTCGGGCTCCAAGAAGGACAAAATGATAGTTGAAGAAAGTGAGACTACTGACAGTGACGCAGGAATGAGGAATGATTCAGATGATGATGAGATGCATGATTTTCAGAAACAGATAGCCCTTCTTACCTCCAGGTTCAACAACCAAATGCAGAAGAAGAAGAACCCCTCGAACAACAGACTCCGCAAGTCCTCTTCCAGTAACAACAAGAGAAAAGAGCGATCTTTTGAATCGTCTGAGAATATTGTTGCTGAGGATGCTCCAAAGTGCTTCAATTGTGGGAAGACTGGACATCTGATGAAGGATTGCAGGTTGCCTAAGAGGAGGAAGGATGCTGAATACTATAAGCAGAAGATGTATCTGAACAAGAAGAAGATGTTGCTGGCAATGGAAGAAAGTAGCGAGAAGAGTGCACTCATGGCTGAAAAGGATCACTGGATGGATGATTCTGATGAGGAAGAGAATCTGGCCTTGATGGCAATGGTTGAAGAAGAAGAGAAAGAGAAGGATGCTGAGAAGGAAGGAACGATGAAGTCAACCCCTGCTGCTGATGAAAAGGAGAAGAACAAAGCTGAGGAGAAGAAGAACCTGCCTACTGCAACCAATGCTGATGTAGCAACTGCCCTGACTGCTGAGAACAGAAATGCTGACAACGAAGTAAGTACCTCTAATTCATCTATTCATAACTGCTCTAGAACAGATATGCATGATAAATTTAAGGAGCTAGAGGTGAATTACAAACGATTGTATGAAGTGTATAACCAACTGCGTGAAAAACAGACATGCTCAAACATTAAGATAATCAATTCAGAGAAAACAATCACTAAGCTCACAACTGAGAATAAGCGACTTAGTACTAGTGAGAAAGAGTTGACAGAGAAGCTTAGAACAACTGAAAAAGAAAGAATTAGGCTTTTTGGTGTAAATAACTTGCTAATGGAAAGAAGGGGTGCTCTGTATACTAAAATCAAAGAACTTGAGGATCTGTTAGCCAAGAGGGACCAAACAGACCAGACTATTTTCCTTAACCAGCCTAAGGACACTCGTTTCTATAACGCCAAGGAGGGCCTGGGTTTGACCAATCCTCAGAACCTGAAAAAGGTCAACTGTAGACAACTCTATGATGTTAGATACATGAAAATAGGATTGACCAAACTCATGGCCTTCACTGGAGCTGAAGAAACGAATGCCCTTGAGGATGAAAAGAGAAAGACAAAGGCTGGTGTAGAGGTTCCTTTTGACTACACAGAATTAAACAAGAGCTACAAAACCAAAGCACTCCCTTTGACCCCTGCTGAAGAAATCTTGACCTATCCCCCTGACAAGGAAGCTGAGAAAGACGGAGAGGAGGCTTCCACATCTGAACCAATTGAGAAACCAGCTTACATTCCACCATTGGTGAGAAAGTTTGCTGAGTTAAAAGACTCTTTTGAAAAAGAAAAGCAGGTTTTAGAAAAAGAAAAGGATGAACTTTTAAAGGAAATAACCTCTTTGAAAACCGCCTCTCAGTCTAACACAGCTTCTCAACCCTCTTCCTCTTCTTGTTCTGAAAACACTTCTGAAAATTCAAGCGATAGTTTTAAGACTTCTCCTTCTCACCCCAAGCCTCCTTCTCAGACCGGAAACCATGTGAAGAAGAGAGTTGAGAAGAGAGGAGAGTGGATCGAGGAGAAGTTAAGGAGGAAGAAACAAGAAGAATCTCATCTAGGAAATAAGAATCGACATTCGAGTGCTTTGTTTTACGTAAAGAATAAGTCTAGATCTGGCATTAGTGAGCTTTCAACTAGTAATACTAGAAGTGGTGTTCCTAGGAATTTCCTAAGTGAACCCTCGACTAGTAATGCTAATAGAGTGGCTCCTAAGTTTTCTAGTTCTAAGACATCTGTCAAGAATCGCTACTCTAATACTTGTTCTCTGAATTGTGTTAAGTCA